ATCAAATCTATATAGTATTTGGATAGAAATCGGCGGAAAAAAACAACACCATAATTACATACAATGGCTATGAATTAATGTGTGTTCATGAACCCTATGGGACCCTCTTTTGTATGTTATGTTATTCTAGGAATATTTTATGTGAACGATTTTATTATGGCTGGCATGTTTACTGAGAGTGATATTTGATCATGTGCGCATATTCATCCACAGACACGCACACGCACACGCACTCACGCACTACCCCCTCCCCCCACCACCACCGCACACATTTACAAAACTATGTACTGTAAGAGTGTGCGGGCGCGTGTGCTTACATGCATACATATGACTGGTAAAACACTCTTTCGTGTAGATACTATGGTAGAAAAATCCATAATGCATAAGGCTAATTTTTGCATTGTGGGTTTTACTACCAACATACGCTTATACATGTGTCTGAGAGTGTTTTTTTAAATTTATTTGTTTGTTTATGTTTCGATATTCGCTCGGGCTACCTCGCTACCCCCGTGTCCCTCTGTTTAGTCTTAATTGTTTGTATTCCACATGTTCCCCATCGAAGGCTTGTGGTTTCAACGAGCGTACCCAGCACGATACACTGTGAAAGACGTTTTGACTGACTGGGAGATTACAAGCTGCTCCGGTCGACGTCGGTTTGTTATTGTTGCAGCGAGGTCTCAAAAGGCTGTTGGGTCGGTGTCGATGTGTGGAGCGGCGGGAGTGACTGGCGCCTGTCACGCTTCTCCGGGTGTACTGTGGGGGGAGAGGGGGAGGGGGAAAGAGGGGAGAGGGAAGGAGAGGGAAGTGGGAGTAGGAGTAGGACAGACAGATAGGTAGATAGATAGATAGATAGATAGATAGATACACAGACAGAGACTTTGGTGTGCCTGTCCGTATAAAAGTGACATGACATTTTTCCACCCAACACCACTCACCCAGTTAACCACCATTCATCTCACATCATTATTGTTCAAGCTTTTATAAAATTCCCCTTCACTAGAAACTGAATTTTAAAGGTAACACCCCCCCCCCCCAAAAAAAAAAGATAAATAATAAATAATAATAATAATAATGATTATTTAAAGATATAACGAAGTAATTCTTTCCACCGTTTTCTTGTTAGGAACTCTCAAAACTCGAAGATGATTTTTGGGAAATTCGCCCTTCGTGGCAGTGGCAGCTTGAGATTTTGTTTTACTTTTTGTTTCTCTTCGCATCATTTATTTTTATCACAGAAAAGTCCGAGTCATGCTACTGCCACGACTGTTGTTTTCTTGACATTTGTTTCGCATGAGAAAGTTCCGTACTATAAAATATATAGTTACAGTCAGGTTGAGAGTATTATATTATTACTGATCATTGTTCCTTGACCATTTGCAATTATAGTTTCTCGTATTCTTTCTGCAACATGATTTTGGTATGAAAGATTTTTTTATTTTTATTGTTCGACTATGTATTATGGTTTGGATTATGAAGAATACGGTATTGCATTCTTAAGCTTAAAAAAATCGTCGTGATTATTCAAGACGTAAATACAGTTCATGGTTATTGAATCTCTTTGCATCTTCGTTTGCAGTGTCACGTGTTTGTGAAATAGGATCTGGCTATTAGCTGCGGACGAGGGTGAGAAGTTTATTGATTTGGGTTCGCGTTTGATTGTGTAGAAGCGATTTATTTCGTCTTATCATAGCTTTTAAAAACCGTATTTGCATAGTCAGATGTGGAGTGTCCCGACCGAATGAAAAAAAAAAAATAAAAGATTGTAAGTGTTTGGTTTCAGGAGATTGATCGAATCTGCTGGGGTTTACTTAACGTTGTTTATTTATTATTGTAATAGTTTTTTTTTTGTATGATATACATTTCGTCACGGAGTAATTTTCTAATTTGCCATTATTTTCTCGTTTATGATTCCCTTTACCCAATTTTGTTTCAGCCTTCTCTCCCAATGACATTGTATTGATTTTGTTCTTCCGTTCTCCCCAGGTGACCTTGCATTAACCTTGTTCTCCCCTGCACCGCGCGCTGTAGCTTGCACCCAGCTGATCCCCCCCCCTTCCCTTGGGTAATCTGTGACCCTTGTTCTCGTTTCCAGGTGAACAACGCCGGTTGGGTGACTCTTGTTCTTAGGGGAGCGTGGGTCTCCATGGTCGTTTCCTATCCCGGGCGACTCCTCCTTCGAAATCCCATCGCTTAGTCAATGCCCTTGCGCTGACCTTTCCCCCTTTTCTCCCCCCTACAGGTGCCAGCGGCGGGCGAGGGCAGCGCTGACCACAGGGAACGAGTCCGCCACTTCGCCTTCGACTACGCCTACGCCAACGGGTCCTCGGTCAAGCCTACTCCGCGCCGCCGGAACCATGCTGACGCCGCGCCGGACGCCAAGAGGGACGCCAGAGGGGGCGGCAAGGGCGAGGCCAAGGGGGACTCCGCCAAGTGGGAGTCCTCCAAGGGCGAGCCCAAGGGGGAGTCCTCGAGAACCGAACCCAGCAAGGGCGAGGCGAAG